CCAGGCTCCCAGCAGCTGCACACACGCCCGCCTCTCTGTAGACCCTCACCACGTGGCCCGCTCCGCTGTCTTTCCCTTCACCTCAGAAGGCAGGTCCTGCTTAGTGCTCATGCCACAGACGAGCAGAAAGTGGTCCAGACCTGCCCTGTGCTGAGACTCGGAGCCGCGGTGGGACTGCCAGGATGTCCGGCAGGCGGGCCGTACCCAGAGCAGGATGAGATGCAAGCGTCTGACACCATGTGGGGCCCCTAGGCCTCACTGTCCCCCTACCCCCAGGGCAGCCGCTTGCTCCTCCCCCGTTCCACGCTGCAGGAAAGTTCCGGTCATAAGTGGGCGAGAAGGTTCCCGATTCCAACTTCCTACGCGAGTTCTGGAACAGAAGACTCTCTGTGCCAGCTCCTGATGGGGGTCTGCGGGAGAACGAGCCCCAGGAAGCTGAGATCTGCTCCTGGGCCCAGCATGCTCCTCCCACAGACGGCGGTCCCGCTGCCCCACCCCGCACACCCCACCCCAGTGCCTGCTCCAGACCCCAGGATGGCCCCCACTGGTTGAGAGCAGGGTGGGGGCCTAGGGGGACCTGCACCAGCCCTCCCCACCAGCCTGGCAGCTCTGCCTGTGGTAGCCTGGGTGGCACTGACAGTGTGAAAGCACATGAGTGCTCGCGAGTGTGTGGGGCCTGGTGCCTGCACAGAGGCCGGACACACACTGCAGCCCTGGGCACTCACCAGAGTGATGACAGCCCGAGGCCCAATGGGGTCCAGAACGGCCCTCCCCTGTGCTGCTCCTCACTCACTGGGGAACGCACTCTGCCCTGGGCACCTCGGCACCCCGGAGACTCCCTATAGCTCATGGCCACGGGCGATGCCCTCGACAGATGGGAGGGGACACTGGGGCACTAACCAGCACCCTCCAACCAGAGGATGGTTCGTCCAGACAGAAAATGCCAAAGGCAGGAGCCACGTCCAGGAGGCTGGCCTGCTCCTGCCAGCCCCTAGCCCTGTTTCACCCGCAGGGTCACTACACTCAGGCCTGACCATGCTGTCCTCCCCACCTCCACGCAGGACACTCAAGGCAAGCTTGGCGCATCCTCTCATGTGCTGCCCGTGTGGTCTGACTCACCCTTAGGAAGCCTGCGCTCGAGAGCACAAGCTCACCACCCCCTGAGGACCTTACCACCCCCAAGGCTGAAGAGCCAGCAGATATTCTCCGATGCAAAGTTGGTCAACTTCCATTAGCAGACAAACCCACACAGCTGAACAGAGTCCAGCAGAAAAGCAGCCCGTGGGACGTGGAGCATTACCCACGGGGCCACAGAGGGGCTGCGCCCTTGTGGTGAGACAGTGAAACCCACTGAAGTTGGCTAGGCCATGTCTCGGAAGAAGGAGTAAAACACAGTGGCTTCCCGACAGCAGCAACAGCACACTTTGCTCCCACAGACCGGAGATGGGGTAGGGGGGCACAGCAGGGAGACATGCCCACTAGCTGTGTTTTCAAACGCATAAAATGACATTTTTAGTCAAAACCACAATGGGTGAGGGTGAGGAGTGGCTACAAGTCTTTCTTAGGCCCAGAAGTGAGCAGAGGTGCTGGGTGAGCACTGGCTTCGTCAGGACTCAATCAGGAAATCAAACCCAGAGGGGCAGAAACGTTTATCTACAACAGAAAGCAGGACAGAAAACCACTGAGAAACACAGAGTTGAGGCCTGCACGCTTCTGGTTGGCGCCAGCAGTCACAGTAAGGGCCCCCGCAGTCCAAGCAGGCCCTCAGGCCGAGCCCTTCTGGTGCCTGGGGAGGCTTCCCCTGCCGCAGGGTGTCTCTTCCAGCTCCTCGCTGGAGGTTCCAGAAACCTGCTGTTGAAAGCAAGGGCCGTTTCATCAGCTCTGACTATTAGAGGCTCCTTTCTGCCAGGTTCCAGTAACAGAAGAGGCAGTGGCCTCCTAGAAGGCCAAGCTGGGCAGCCACATGGGCCATGGTGCCAAGGAGAGGGACCTATCTCCACTGTGACAGGAGATCGGCCCGGTACCTGCTGGAAGGGAGGACTCTCAGAAGAATGAACTGCACAGCTCTGACCAACCCTTTGAGAACAAACACTTGGCTTTACGACACGCGCAACAGTTTAAAACTACTAAACATTTTTTTAATCCATAGATTAGATGGGAAGAAAGTTTGGAACCTCAGAGGGCAAAGGCTGAGGAAGCCAGAAGCAGAAGAAATCAAGGGGCCCTCTGCTGTCCGGCATCTGAGGGCCTGGCCAGTAGCTGATCTTGTTCAGTTTGGAGGAAGCAGGGATGGAAGAGACAGCCTTGGAAGGGCCCAGCTGGTGACCCACTCAGAGACGCCCCCAGCAGGAGGGCCAGGAGCTGTGGGCTGGGAGAGGGAGAGGCCAGCCTGCAGGTGGGAGGGGAGTGCTGAGACTCTTAAAGTTCTAAGAGCTTTGAGTTGTTTGGAGGAGACTAAAAATATCAATTAAGTTTAGACTTTGATAAATGAATTCTGCGTCTTAAAATACCCAGGGCAGCCACTATGCAAGCTGAGTGAATGAGCTCCAAACTACCAGAGGGGAAAAAAGAATAAGAAAAAATAATCAGCACAAAAAGAAGCTAAGAAAAGAGGAAAACAGCAATCTGTCCCAAAATGACAGGAAAACAGAGTGCGAGATAAGATGATAGACATAGCTTCGAATACAGGAATTTCAATAAACACAAACAGACCAGTGGTCAGGGTAGGACCAAGTCCGCCAGACCAGGTTTTAAAGATCCAGTCACATTAAATGTAAGGATGTGAAACTGTGATGGTCAGAAGTGGACACACTGACTCTGGAGAAAGTCTGTGCAGCCCCAGGGGTGTGCGCAGAAGGTGCTTCCAGAGGCAGGCCTTCCGGGTGGCCTGCCGCACAGTGGGCAGAGGCCTCACACCTGAGAGAGGCTTCATCTCAGGGGACCAGCCATGGAACATCCCTGAACACTGGCACAAACCAGGGCTAAAGTACATTCCTAACAAAGGTCAAAGGCCGAGCTGCTCGGCCCCGCCCCCGGGCAGCAGGCAGTGGGCAGTGAGCAGTCACCTGCGATCAGTGCCAGACCCAACTCCCAAGAGCCAGACGTCCTGGCATATGGCTGAAAAGTGATGCAGAGCTGCCCGTCGGGAGGGCCGGAAAGTGACAGGACAGTTGCCAGTGGGGAGCCCAAAGCCGAGCATCACCTCCGAGGGAAGCTGGAGCAGTGCAGTCTCTCCGACACAGCGGCCGGCCTGCCTGCTCAGCACAACGCAGCGGCACAGGGCCGGTGGGCAGGTCTCCTCATCCACGTGCAGCTCACAGCGGCCCGTGGGTCTGCCTTCCCTCACACGAGGGCAGTCACCCCACAAACACTTAAGAGGACGGGGCGAGGCAGCAAGCCCGGAACCACAACCCAGCAGGCTGGCCTGGAACCTGACACCCACTCCCCTGACCACCCATGAAGACGCACTGGCTCCTCAAATCTGCCTCTAGCTTCAGCATCTAAGGGCACAGCCCTAACCATCTACGGAGCACCTCCTATTTGCCATGTAACGACCAGCAAGAGCACCATCCCACTTCCCACTCCACACCTGCCCGAGGTCCTCACCCTTACAGGTCAGGCAACAAGGCTTATGAGGCAGAACCTGTATGTCCCATTTTGAAAAGGCCAGCACCTGAACTCACGCTCTGTAGGTCCTGCTGGGCCCAGCACCTGCCACCGGGGCCAGACATCTACGCTCCTCCCCCTCCTCTCTGCTACCAGACCCCTTCCCCAGGGCCCTGCGGGGGTCTGAGTGCCTGCACCCGACCCCACAGGAAGGACACAGTGCAGAGGCAGTATCCAGAGAACTGCAGCAGAAGACACGCCCGGCCTGCTGGGAGCACTAGGGTGGGGCTTGGGGCCTGCAGCTGCTGGATCATTTTGTCCCCAGCAGGGGGAGGTTTCTCGAAAAAATTAAGTGGGCAGAAATAAACAATGGGGAAAAGGAGAATGACCACCTAGCAGCTGGATCCAGCCATTCCTGAAGCAGGTCCCTCATGGAGGAGCCAAATGAGAGGATAATAGATCCCTTATCCTAAAGCTGGGTTGCACTGATAATCAATAGAGCCCTCCCAGGGCTATTTAACCTCCCATACCTGCTGCTATTATGGAGAGGGGGAGGGGAGAGAGGGTGGTGGAAAAGGGGGGCCAGGGCACAGCAGAAGGGAGTCTCCAATTTTGCCCCTTCTCCAAGGGCCTTGGATGCAGCAGGCTATCCTTCTAAGCCGCAGCACAAGAGGAGAGTAAGAAGGGTGTACCAAGGCCCCAGAAGGCAGCAGCCCTGAAAGAGCTGGCACTTCCTGAGCGGTGATGCAGGTCTGGGGCACGGCAGGCCAGTCCCCTGAGCATTCAGTGGGGGGCACTGATACTGGGAGGAAACAGCAGTGCCCAGAGAGGGACACGCCGCCACCCCAAGGGCCACCAAAGGGAAGACAAAACAGGACAACACAGCCTCAGGCATAGAGACAGCCAAGCCAAAGGGAGACAGACACGGTCATGGTGGGAGATCTCAGACCACTCCCGCAGTAACCGATAACCCATAGGTGAGCAGACAACAGAACCTGCCAGCCAGCAGTTCCGAGCAAACCTGGGCCTGCGGACAGCCACAGCTGCCAGCTCTCCATGTCTGCCCTAACCCCAGCTCCCATACAGCACGCAGGTGCCGTTTCCTGACCCTGTCAGTCCCCTGTAGTTTTAAACTGCGCAGACAAGGCCGTGTGTTCCTCAAGACTCCCACTGGATTTCCCTAATCCCCAGAGCTGCTGGTTCTCTCTCCACAGTTTTCTACACGTTCAGAGTGGGATGTCATCTGCTGCGGGCGCTGCAGCACCTCGAGTCTCCACAGCATCCCATGTGGTGGGTGTCCCGCCTCCCAGCACCCCGCCTGCAGCCCGAACGGGTATACAGACAACAACCCATGGGGTGGCGCGGGCTGAGCCAGGGCGGTGGGGCAGTGCCACCTGGATGGAGCTGGACAGGGCTGGACGGTGCTGGACGGTGCTGGACGATGCTCTCCAGCAGGCAGGCGAGGCACTTACTCTGTGCATCGAGCAGCTGCTCAGCCACAGGCACCTGTGGTTCGGGAAGAGATCTGAGTTTTGGATGCAAGTTTAGGAGAAATCAGCACACAGCAGTAATCCCACTTTTCCTGACCAGTGTGTCTACAGGCATGATGAATGAGGTGAGGGCTGGAGGAGGCAGGGGTGTGGGAGAGGGTGCTGGCGGCCCCTGGAGACAGGCAGTGGGGGATGGGCTCATGACCAAGGAGGAAGGATGGAAGGTTCAGGGATGCAGCCTAGGGGTAGAGGTCAAAGCTGTTTTGCTTGTTTTTAAACGAACAGCAAGTGCACCGAAGGCAAAGCTTGTGCAGGAAAGCAAGACGACAAAGCGGGGCAGAGGGCTCCATGGGTGGGGTACAGGGGCCTCATTTGAGCTGGGAATCTCCAGAGCACTTCTCCCTGAGAGGTGTGAGCCAGCGCTCCGGCAGGCAGGCTCCTGCTGGCCATCACAGACGGCATGCCCCAAGGACCTTCACCACCTTTTCAGTGGCCTCTCTTCCCACCAAGGCTCTGCAAGTTCTCACGTCAGCAGCCTGTCGACCTAGAATGTGGTCCAGAAAGCAAGAATCATCTCCCCCAGCATCCATCCTCACCCAGCCCTCAGCCGCCAGGACACAGGCCAGGACCACAGAGGGCTGAGCACAGTAGCAGCGAGGCGAGCCCCAGAAAGGCACAGGCAGAGTCCACCAGCATGGAAGCGGAGGGGACACTAGAGTCACATAAGCCGCTGACAAGCGAGCCTGGAGGCCCGGCAGGCAGGGTGGCCAGGCCCTGGGACTGTCTCTCCCTTCTATGAGAGTGTTTTCCTGGCTCCATCTCTTCTTTTTCCTGAAAAAGGGCAGGTGGGAGATAAAGTTTTGAAAATGTACACGTCTGAAAATGCCTTTATTCCACCTGGACAGCAAACGGATGGTTTTTGAGGGGGTCACAGTTTATGTGTCAGTCTTGCTCCTGAGGTTCCCCGGCTCCCGCAAGGCGGCTGACCAGTCTGCCTCGTGCGCTGGCAGGGTCACTGTTGAAGTCGCCCTCTGTTCCTCGGTCCTCCTGTTCTCCTTTTGGATGACCACGTCAATTTCATTTACCTGCTAATTCACTCCTGCTCTCGGGGCCCCATTCTGTTCCCTGTCCCTCCCTCCACCACACCCTGCCTGGTCCCCTGGCACTAAGTCCTCTCACCTCTGAGACACTGACGATGCTTCTCCACTTCCTGTGAAAAGCTTGGCTCTGGATCTTGGGTGGGTGGATGTGCTGGGCCACTGGACAGGGTCTGGTGTAAGCCTCTCTGGCTCTTCTTGGCTGACTGGATCCTCCCCCTACCACTACCACCAAAAAAAACAAAACAGCTGGTGCAGAGGGAAAGGCCTGGCCATCTCAACCTCATCCTCACGGGTGGTAGAGCCCCCACTCCCAGGACCCGTCCCTCTCCCTGGAACAAGGAGGCAGTTGTCAACTCCGGGGAGCGAGGGAGAGGACCGAGGCATCCATCTCCTTCTCAAACAGCCCTGGGAGGACGTCCACGGTGCCCTACGTGCTCCCTTCCAAGTCTGTCCTAAATGCTACCAGCAGACCCTGAAGTCTTAGGGTCCTTTTTTTTTAACCTTCAAAGGCAGGTATGATGTTGTCAGCACAACTTTCAGCCGCCTCTGGAACCAGTCTCTCTGCCTACCTCACTTCTCCACAAGCGCTTACCCTGGGGACCCCCAGGGCCGCACAGCCCTTCACGGCCTGGTTGGTCCGAGTCCTGTCCACGTCCGTCTTCCCCAGCACTCAGCACAGCCCTGTGCACATCAGCCTCAATATGTCCCTCTGTGAGATGGAGGGGCACCGCCTGAGTGAAGCCCTACTGTCTTGTGAAGGTCAGCAACTTGCACCACACCCTTTACCATCCCAGTGTAGGCCCCAAACTCGAGGAAGGCAGGGCGCCCAGGAAGCCGGTCTGTCCCGTGGCACTGACTTGAGCATCACCTCCTGCACAAGCCTCCCCAGGATGCAGGAATCCTGACCTGCAGTGACCGGGACGACAGCACCATGTGGGTAGCACAGAGCCCTCGCCAGGCTGTGAGCTCAGAAGCTCTGCAAGGCCCCCCAGCCAAGGGGAGACTCATGACCAAGGTGAGATGGTCCAGGTCACACAGACATGAGGCACGCAGGTCTGGCTGGCTATAAAGGAAGGGTTTATTTTGGATGATGTGATACCTGCCAGGGTCCAACAGTCAAGAGTGTTTGCTAGTAGAGTAATTCAAAATTTGAAGCATTTAAATTGCATTTTGTAAAAGTCACAACTGTGATGCCTCTGGACAGACCCCGCCCTGCAGCACTGAGCACCGAGGCGCCAGCTCCCTCCCTTGTGATACACAGGGCAGCCACTCCAGGCATGAGGATGCTCAGTGGGCACGTCCCGTGCAGGCACCAACCACCCAGACCCTAAGCAGTGCTTCCTCTGCTCATTCCACATGACAGCCACGCACAGCATGGCTCTGCCTCGGTCTCCCAGGCACCTGGCCTAGAGCGGAGCCTCTTGGGCAGGAATTGTTGGGATGCAGCCAGAGCAGACATGGGCATGGGCTCCTGCACCAGCATGGCACTGTGCCAGCAAGAATCACATGGCCAAGCCCCAGCCGACAGGCAGAGAGGCTTCAGGACGGGGCTAAAGTTCCCACAGCAAAGGCCATGAAGAGCAAGCAGCTAGCAAGCAGCTACAGGGGCTGCAGAGCTTCGATCCATCCTGGGGCCCCTCATGGCCACTGACCTAGTCCTCCACATCACCTGGTTTTCTCTGCCTCAGCTGGCGGGACTCCAGGGGCACCACGAGGGCGGAAGACCTCAGCAGCCACGTGTACCCGATCTTAAGGCGCCCAGCTGATACATTCCACCCAAGGGCAGAAGAGCCATCAGCAGCCAAAACTCTTGCTGAGGACAAGTAGAAAACCAGATTTTAAAGAAGTTTTAAAGAAATCTCTTTGAAGGCAAGGAAATGCTACCCAACAGCCAGGACCCTGGAGCCCCTGGAGGGGTGGGCATTGCTCTGCAGCTGAGCCCGGGCATCCCCTGGGGGGCAGGCAGGCAGGCACCGAGTGGCAGTGTGGCCGGCAGAACCCCGGGAGCGAGTCTGGCTTGGCCGCCAGTGTCACGGGGACCCTGCAGCAACGCAGGGACTTTAAAATACCCCCAACTAATGGATTCATGAAAACAGATGATGGATGAAGAATTTCACCAAAGAACTGGAATCCATCAAAAGGGCTCACATGCAAACCTGAGAGCTGAAGAACATGAGGCTCCTGGACACGGGGTGGCAGCTGCATCGGAGAACCTGCGGACACACTGCGAGGTAGACATGCGTGATGCCCAGGTCTGCTCTGCTTCCAGTGTGTGAACAAGCACGGTACCGATGGCTCTGCCATGGTCAGCAGTCCACACGCCTGGTTTCAAGGACTGAGATGGCTCTATCCACAGGGGCACCACCCTTTCCGGGGCCTCCCTTCACAGCACACCCTGAGCTCCAAGGATCAGCTCCCCGTCACTACCCTGTCTGGGAAAGACTGGCTCAGTCACTTCCAGGACAGGGAGGGTGGGGCAAACCCCCAGGCCTCCAGCAGTTTCCACGGGTAAACAGGATTGTATGGGAAGTCACTTTCCATCAGAATTTTGAACTTACTGCCTCACGGACATCTAAATTCCAGAATTGCCACTAAGAAGCCCAAAGCTTCCCGACCTCGAGTTGGCCCGCATCTCTGAGCGCCCTGCAGTCTTCTGCCCGTCCGCACAGTTGGCCTTGGCGTTCTCCCTGTGACCCTGCTGGTGACTTGCTGTCACTATCCTCCCTGTCCCAACTCTGAAACTGTTATTTTCCAGGTAACGGGCTTCCCAGGCTTTAATATTCTTCTCTGGTTTCCAAGCCGGCTCTCTCTCGGAGATTCTCAACTTCATCCTCACCCACGCTGCTGCCGTGCGGTCTCTCTTTCGAACCTATGATGTATAATTATCTCATGCAAACATGTTCATCACTTGTTAACCATTCCATTCTGCATCACATTCTGTCTCTGATGAAGACTGTCGGTAGTAAACACGCTTTCTTTGTTTATCTGAAAATAATATTTCTACCTAGCTTTGAAAAGGTAACCTTGCGGGAGGCCGGCGTCTCAGATCGCGCCCACTGCGGTCCGCGGGTGCTGAGACTGCAGAGGAGCCACGTCAGGATCTGCCGTCTGGCCGGAGCCACGTCAGGACCTGCAACTCATTTCTGGTTGCTTTAAATCCTGTCTTGGTCTCTGGTGCCTGGAACTCTGTTGTGACGTTTCTCAATGTGGATGCTATTCATCCTGTTTGAAATAAACTATTTCCATCATATCTTTCATTAGTTCCAGATTATTTTTCAGCCAATGGCTCTTCACATATCGCCTCTTCTCTGTTCTATCTTCCCTTTTGGGGCTGAAATCAAATGCATCTTAAACTTCTGCATTCTGTCCTCCACATCCCAACCAATTTCTGCCATATTTTCCATTCTGTTAACTCTTCGCTGTTCTTAATAAACTCCTTTCAGCTTGTCTACAAAGTCTCTCTTAACTATGCATACTCTGATATTTAGCCTGTTGGTCAGTTTTTAAATGTCAACTATTATTTGCTTCTAGAGATTCTATTTGGTCCCTTACAAGTCTTCCTAATCCTTCTTGTTAGCCTCTTGTTTTCTGCTCCTCACTGTGATTCTCTCTCCCATTTTTTTAAAGTCCCCGGTGCCTCTAAATTTTGAGTCTTTTGAGGATTCTGTGATGCAGACAGGACCAGTGCTCAGCTGTTCCCTCTGCCAACACAGAACCTGGCTTTCTCAGATCGCTAAGTCAGTCCTGACTCACCCGTCAGCTTCCCAGCTCTCGAGACTGTGTTCATCTCCTCTCACTTCACCCAGTCATGTGAGTATGACTTTTTCAAACATCACTCTACTGCTTGTTTAGGGATGGGTGGGAGGCAGTGACACTGTGTGCACGTGTTCAATCTGCCGTCCTTCCCTGAAAACCAATATGCCTTCCTTAAAAATTATCTTCAGTGGGAAAAATTGGAGATAGAGTCCAGAAATATTTTTGAATTAATTTAAATTTCATTTCCACCACACAAATTATTTCAAAATGCAGAAAAAACACCTCCTTAACTTCGTCATCTATTAACATCAGTCATACCACAAACACGGGCACACCTCTGGAAGTCATCCTGGTCAATGCTTTTGGTAGAAGGCCTTTTGGTTTCTGATAGCTTAAAAGTTCATAAGACATGTAATTCTTCTAATATGTATTTCAGTCAATGGTTGTTAAAGGGGTAAATTTTGTATTTATGTCAAAAAAGTAAATCAACAATTTCCTCAAAACAACATGCAGGGAAAAACAAACCCTCAAGCTGGATTCCCAGTTCAATCAGGAGAAGCGCGCTGCACACGCGTCTGAAAAGTGTCAGCTGGGCTGCTGACGTGCTGCCGTGACGTTCCTGGGCGTGACCCCAGGAACAGCAACAGCGAATACCCCACAACAGTTCTCTAGAAATCAGGGAACCACGTTTTACATCCTAACAGGATGGCCTATTTCTCACATAAAGGTCTTTCACCAGTGTCTCAGTTGTGTTTTAGGAGACTGACTGTGTTAATAATTTCCCCGACTTAATATGATGAGAAATAGACTTAGTGTTTTCATGCAGAATGTCTGATTTTCAGGATGGGTTACTGATGTTAAGTGAGAAATACGTGCACACTTGCTCTTTATAGAAAATACTACAAGTGTAATGGGAAAATGTTGAAAATCATTTCTGCCAAAAGGCAGATCAAGGTTTGGATGGCCTCTGAGAGGCTCCCTGATGCCAAGGACTTGCTAAACTCAGACAGGTTCAAACAAGCCACCGCCTGCTTGTTTTTCTGCCTGTGACCCACTCAGTTTCACACGGAGGGCAAAAGAAAGAGTACAGTTTTCACAGTAAACCTACAAAGCAACATTTCTGTACAGATATAGCAACAACAACAAATGGTGAAGTACTGCAGGAAAGAACTGCTTTCCTGATGAATACCTGTTTTTAGGGGCAGATAAACATCCCACAAAATATTAGTAAAAATTTAGCCAAACTTTCCATTTCAGTGTTGTCAATTTCAGCACCTCCTAATGTTCTGTGCTGTCTTCCTTCACCAGGCTCTGGTGTGGAGGGAAAAACGGGGAGGAAAAAACGGTGTGAGATCTCATTCATCCCTTCTGGCATTATTCTATTTTTTTCTTGCAATAGTAAAACATTCTATGAAGCACAAAAATCCAAATCACAACTTCTAAATACGCTATTATCTAATTTTAAAAGTTGGACAGACACATGGCTTTTGGAGACGCCCCTCCTCACCAGCTGATGCCAGCCCCCCCGAGTGTACAGGCCTTGCTGACCTACAGGTGGGGGTCAAGTATCTCCAGGGTCTCCTTCAGAGCCAGCTCTCACATGGAAGAGAGGGAGGTGGTATCTGAAGGGCCTCATCCCAGTCACAGGACCACAGGTGGAAAGGCGTGTGGGTTCCAGCTCTCAGGCCCCTAAGGGCTGAGCACTGGTCCCTGGCCCTCAAGCAGCAGAAACAGGAGGTGGGAGGGAACTGCTAAGTGAAGGGAAAACAACGACTGAGCAGCTCTTCCTGGAGGTGCCTTACACGTGGCAGCTATGATCCGTCTGCGACAACAAGACAACCATGAGCAGGGATGTGGGCGACGAGGAGCTTAGGGAAGTAACGTGAGCCACCTGGACTCCATACCTCATGACCAACGACCACATCACAGGCACGGTCCAGGAGGAAACGCCATGCGGCGGCCACGTGCCCACTCGCCCAGCACTGGTGCAGTGCTGGCGGCAGGGACACCCACTCCACCCCATCAGTGCATCGCTGCCTGTCTGCACTTCCTTCGAAAGCAGATCCCAGGATCTATTTAGGAGGTGAACCCAGGAACCCGTGTTCCGCCCCATGTCGGACGCCACTGCAAGTCCAGGTGGGCACCTGTGCTTCTAACCACTGGCTGTAAGTCGGAGGTTGCCAACACATCTTCCTTGGTTCTGTTAATTTGCTAGAGCAGCTCACAAAACTTAGGAAACCAGTCCACTCACTAGATTACCAGCTTACTGCAGAGGATATTAAAGGACACGAATCCACAGCCAGATGTAGAGATCCACAGGGTGAGCTCTAAGAGTGCCAAGCACAGGAGCTCATCCCCATGGAGCTGGGATGTGCCCTCCTCCCAGCACAGACGCATCCTCATTCAGTAACCTGGAAGCCCTCCAAACCCCGTCCTTCTGGTGTTATGGAAGTGTCACTCCACAGGCATGACTAATTCAATCACTGACCACTGGTGACTGATTCCACATCCCGCCCCTCTTCCATCCCTGAAGCTCTAGCAGTGGGTCCAAGTTCCAATCCTCTAATCATGTGGCTGGGCCCCCTGGCCACTAGTCCCCAACCTTAGGGCCTTCCCAAACATCACCTCGCTACCATAAGACACCAGCTCTCCCTGGATGGCTCGGGAGCAATTTCAGGAATTGATGACAATGTTCTAATGCGAGAACTCTCCTGCTGCGCTTGTCCCTTGGGAAGCCCAAGGGTCTGGAATCACAGTATCACACCCTGGGTCCCTCAGCATATTCGCCCACTGTCTCGGTCCCACGGGGACTGGGCCGCCTGCACTCGCATGCCTGGAGCAGCAGCGGGTGCTGCCTCCGGCTGCTCAGTCAGTAGTGACTGTCAGGGCAACAGCCGAGAAGGAGCAGGGCCACCCCTTCCCGGGGACTCATGTAGCAGTGACCCCTTGCCTATCCTGTGTGCTAACACCTCTCCCCCACCCACCCCTCCCCAACAGCGCTCAGTCGTGGCCTCATCTCCCCAGCTTGGCCCCTCCAGCCACCACCTCCGTTATGGTCCCCAGGCGTCCCCACGTTTGCTGTGACCCTGGTCTCCACCGCCTCACTTTCTCGAATCCTGCGAGCCTGGACTACATCTCCCCACCTCCACCCCCGACTTTCCAGGCACCATGACTTCCAAGCCAGTGTATTTTCAAAGTTCTCAAGGTGATTTTCATGTGCAGTCAGAGCTGAAAATCACTGACAGACAAAACAGTAATTGAGGCAAGAATTATTAACAGGAAATCCCAGAGACCAGAGATAGTGAGTTACACATACATGCCTAAAACCTCATGCCCAGTCGAGAGTGGCTGAGAAGATGAAAGAGGAGCCTCACCCCAAAGGAGGCACATTCCCTCTGCCTGGTGCCACGTTCTCCGTGTGCGGAAAACCCTAGACTGAAATTACCGGTGCTGGAGCTCCACCGCCTCATCTAATCTGCAGCAAACTGACCTAAAAAAACTAAGGAACAGCTTTCTGTGGGACGGAGCCAGAGCTCTGGTCACGACAGGGCTGCGCCTGTGCTCCTGCAGCCAAGCCGCCACTTGAACAAAGCATGTAAAGTTGCTCTTGCCAGATGCTGGACAACCGGCAGCAGGGGCTGTGGTCCCCCAGAAAGGAGGTGAGCCCTGCGCCCCCAGCTTCTGCCTGGAGACACTTTGCAGACCACGGGGTGAGGACAGGCGTTCCACATGGGCAGCTCACTAAGCCGAGAAGAAATGCCGGGCATGACTGCCCTCACCTTAAATGTGGCGAGAAGAGCGAGCAGGAGCATGAAGACGCAGAAGCAGCCGTCCAAGCTAAAGCACAGAGGGAATGAATGGGGCTCAGAGACCCACAAGACATCAAGCACCTGGCAGACACATCACCACAGCCCCACCCCAAAATAAAAGGGACAAGAGAGTAAAAACAGTTGAAAAGATAATGATAAAAAACTTTCCAAATTTCAAGGAAAAAACCCTACAGATACAAGAAGCTCAATGATTACTAATTAGGGGGGAAAAAAATCTGAAACCAAAAAGTTAACAATCTAGAATTCCATGTCCAGTTAAAATAATCTTCAAAAATGAAGAGAAAATATTTTTTCTCAAAACAAAAATGAGAGAATTAATTGTCAACAGACTTACATTAAAAGTATTAATTTCTTCAGGCGGAAAGAAAATGACACTTGAGGGGAATCTAAATACACAAAATGTAAAAGTACCAGATACGGTGAATAAGAAAGATAATACACCTTTTTTCTCATTATGAGATAACTGACTGCTTATAGAAGAATAATAACAATGTGTCAGGGAGGTTAGAACAGATGTAGAAGCCAAGTGTACAACAGAACCATCACAGACTGGGGTGGGGGTGGGTGGACACCAAGAAAGTTCTCTCATTACACATGAAGTGGCACTTTCTCATCGTGGAGAGTGGGCCAACCGGGACAACCACTTAAAACCCGTAACACTTAGGTGCAGCAAACGAGCCAACAATGGAGATAAGAGTATACTAAAACCTACACGACTAATATGAAAGATTGAACGAAAAGAGGGAAAAAACCCAGATGGGACAAATAGAAAGCAAACCATACTGATAATTACATTAAGGGCAAATGGTCTTAAGACTCCAATTAAAAGGCAAGAGATTCTCAGACTGCATAAAAAAGCAAGACTCAAGTACATGCTATTAAAGGAAGCCATTATAAATGCAATGATAAAGATAGGTTAAAAGCAAAAGGATGGAAAAGATATACCATGCAAACATCAATCATAAGAAAGCTAGAAGCCTATATATTATCACATAAAGCAGATTTCTGGAAAAGAAATATTACCAGGAATAAAAAGGGTCAGTTCATTAAGAATATGCAACAATCCTCAATGTGTATGCATCCAAAAACAGAGCTTCAAAACACATGCGCAAAAAAAAAACAGAGCTAAAAGGAGTAAGAGAAATTCAAAATTTAGTCTAAGCGTATATACAAGACTGGAACTCCACCAACCCGTTTCAATTAACTGACATTTATGACACTCTGCCCAATGGCAGCTGAACACACATTCTTCTCAATTGCACAGGCACATTCACCAAGAAAGACCATACCCTGGGCCATAGAAAAAGTCTCAATACACTTAAAAGTAATGAAATCATACAGAAACTAACAAGACAAAAAACAGAAAAATAGAGGAAATTGATTAAACCCAGAACTAGTTCTCTATAAAAACCAGTAAAATGGATAAACCTCTAACAATAATCTGAAAAAAAAAGAGGAACACAAACTAACAAAATATCAGAAATGACAAAGGGAACATCATTACAGATCTACAGACATCAACAGGATAATAATGGGGTTGGGGTGAAGCTCACTGGTAGAGCACATGCTTGGCTTGCACGAGATTCTGGGCCCAATCCCCAGTGCTACTGTTAAGAGGGAAAAAAAGGATAATAATGGAATATTGTTATGACAATAATAAACTCATCTACGAAACAGAAAGCTCGCAGACATAGAAAACAATCTTATGGTTACCAGGGGAAAGGGGGTGGGAAGGGATAAATATGGGTGTTTGAGATTTGCAAATATTAGCCGCTATAAATAAAAAACAAATTTCTTCTGTACAGCACAGGGAACTGTATTCAATATCATGTAATAACCTTTAATGAAAAAGAATATGAAAATGAATATATGTATGTATATATATGACCGGGACATTGCGCTGTATGCCAGAAATTGACACATTGTAATTGACTATAATTCAATTAAAAAGAAAAAAAAAAACCTAATGCTTCAAACCAGTCCAGGAAAAAAAAAAAAGGAATATTATTAGCAACTTTATGCACGTAGGGTTAACAAATTAGTTGAAATGGACAAATTCCTTAAACAGCATGCCACCAAAGTCACTCATGAAGAAATAAGATAGCTTGAATAGCAAATCTATTTATTAAAAAAATTGACTTTATAACTCAAGACCTTCCAACAAAGAAAACTCCAGGCCAAGATGGTTTCACTGATAAATTCTACTAAACATCCAAGAAAAATAACATTCCTAACAAATTTCTCCACATCTACCTTCTAGAAGTATTTCTCAATTCATTTTATGAAGCCAATATTATACTGATATCAAAACAAAGACATTACCAAAAAAGACTACAGACCAATAGCCCTCATGATCACAGATTTAAAAATCCTTAAAGTTTAAAAGTTTTAGCAAATTGAATCCAGCTATAAAGGACAACACATCATACCCAAGTGGGGTTTATCCCAGGATTGCAAGGTTTGTTTACTATTCAAATAATAATCAGTGTAATTAAATATTAAATAGGAAAAAATATCTTATATTTACAGTAAAGATAGAAAAAAACATTTAACAAAATCCACCATTTAGTCTTAACAAAAACTCAAAGCAAAGAAAGAATAGAATAAAACTTCCTCAACCTGACAAGGGGCATATATACAAAACCTAAAACTATATATATAATACTAAGTAGTAAAAGACTGAACGCTTTCCCCTGTGATCACTAACAAGGAAAGGACAGCCACTCTCACCACTTTTGTATGACATTTTATTGTAGGTCCTAGATAGTGCAACAAGGCAAGAAAAATAAATAAAAGGCATTAAGATTGGAATGGAAGCAATAAAATTTTTTTATTCACAGGAAAAAATGACTATATACAAAAAATCTTAAATATTAATATCTATATTAGGGGCAAATTTTAATATTTAATACATGTCAGGGATAAATTTGTCAAAATATGTCCCCTGAGTACTACAAATACTGACGAAAAAAGTTTTAAAAGGCCTAAATTTATGGAGAGGAACATTAGATGCACCAGTCAGAAAGCCCTGCAGTGCTGAGGTGTCACATTTCACATGTCCTTCTGTCCAGTCCCATGCACTTCACACCCCACACAGGTGGTGGTCCCAAGAGTGCCCCCAGTAAACGTCCTGCAAATGTCCCTCTCACAGCCTGCCTCCCAGGGACTCCAACACGAGAGTGACTGATAACCCTTAAACGCTTGAGCAGGAAGGACAGAAGACACGTACAGACGCCCAGACACCAGCGAGATGCTGACCAGACAAGTAGAGTGCACGAGCGACAGCAGACTGACACAGAGAGGGTGGGAGGAGCAGCCAAGAGACCCTCACGTGTGCTGTGAGTCTCTCATCTGAAGAACACTCTCTATACGACACATAAAATCATACGAAATTGCCATTTTTGGACAGTTTTTTACCTACAAAAACTGCAATCTCACATAGTTCAACTTTGTACTTCCATTCTGTCTCAATTACAACAAAATACTTGGAGGATATTCCTTTGGGTCATCACCAGCCCTGGGATCTCAGAGCAGGAGACAAGTGTTACCTCTGAGTCAAAGTTCACAGTTGGAGAGTCTACATGGAGGACATTCCTAGAATATTTCATGGGGTCTAAACCAGGAGATCAGAGAACTCCAATCTGGTGACACATCCTCTGGCTTTGGCTCATTCGCTGGCTTAAATGCTCTGCCAGTCCACAGTCACACCCCACTGACCACACTCCCACCCTTAATCCTCCCTCTCACCCTCTTCCTCAGCTGCCGCTCGAGCCCCACTTGCCCAAATCTCCCCCAATTATGGGACACCCCGAGGCTCTTGTCCCTCTGCACCTTATCCTTGGAGATCCCGGTTCTGTTTCCACTGTTTCCACTATAATCTCTCTGTAGCTAAGTTCCAAATCTCTGCCCGATCACCCCTCACTTTACAAATTCCAGGTAGACCTGGATAGTGTTCCCAGTGGAGCTCTCCTCCCAGATCTCTTTCCCGACTGCCCCACGCACTTGCACTGTGAATCTATTTCTGTCCACGGCACCACACTGCTCTGCTCCCTCCCCCTGGGGGCACCCATGCCCTTCTCAACCCCACGTCTGTACCACTGCCCATTCCACCCACGGGG